ATTTGTTGAAATCAATCGCATTCAATGCTTCACAATCACGTCACATTTTTTTAATCTCTTTCTCTATTTTCCCTTTAATAGTAGTGATCTTGTCCACGTTGCCATCATCTTTATCCATCTTAACTGTTTCCCTGGTTCCGACTTCACTCAAAGTGTTCTTGTGGCCTATCACATCTGATGTCACACTCTATTTTTCTCCTCTTTTCTTCCCACTGTATTCAAATCCTCCATCTCTCTTCCTTTTTTTATCCCTTATATTGATGTTTCGAACCATTGATGTTTGCCATTTTTTTATCATAACCCCTGAATCTTCAACTGGTTGATATTTATGAGCGATGACATGTACAGATAACTCGTTAAGTTGATCAATAAATTCAACATTCTCATTTTCTCAATTTTGTATTGTCTCCTTGCCCGCTTGTATTTCCACTTCATACCTTTGTTCCCGTTTTTCATATTTCCAACCAATTCATTCAACTCCTTTATCACCGTGTCCTTTTCTTTCATTTTCAATAAGAAGGCAGTGTCTTGTTTGTCAAATACATCATCCCTATCAACAGACTATGAATGCTCCAAAGAATTTTTATCTGAGGCTATGTTGCGTATAACAATTTTTAATACATCATTCTCCTTCATAAGCTCTTGAATTATTTTACTGTTTTTGTCTTATTCTCCTCTTACATCACAATCATCTCATAGTGCAACCTCAATATCTTCTTGAGTTCCATATTTTCCAGAAACTTGTTCCAAACCATCATGACCAATTACATCCATAAGAATTTCATTAATAGCAACCTCAATAAGAGATTCAAATGACACCTTCTCTTTACCATCATCACCAATTATATCCATAATATCATCGTCATCCTTAAAAAATGTGTCATGTTTAGTCTTCTCATATCCCCTGCCCTCACATCCTTCTTCATCCACCTCATGATTTGATTTTTTTACTTTACCAATTTTGATCTTGCCCACCAATTCAGACTGGCCCCCTTTTTCTTGTTTGCTTCCTTCCCATTTGATAACATTTTTCTCCTCCGTTGTTCTCTTCAATCTATGTCTCAGTACCTTTGAAACATTAAAAATATCAAAAATTGGATGCATACAAAAGTAAGTGTAACATGGAAGTGTAGAATAACAGTGTACCAATAGAGTGTTACGCTGCAAGTGTAAGAGTACATAGCTAAAATACAACATTTAAAAATCCAAAATGATACTGTGTTGAGCTACTTACATGTTTTAACTTCAACTTTCCAAGCCTAGTCTCTTTCATAGCTCTTTGAAGACTCGGTAAATTCCATTTCACAATTCTTAGAATTCCGTTTGGCTTGTCAGGTTTGATAATTGTTGTGTGTTCTCAAACCCAATATTGCACACACATACAATTTCAATTAAGCAAACTCATTACTTGCATTAATTAAATTAAAAAAACAAAACTGGAAATGTAACGAGACTATTAAAAAATTACCAGTCATAACATTACACATCCAGTAACACCTGATAGAGTGCTACTCCTCCTCTGAAGTGACGAAATAAGAGCTTCATGAATAGCACTTGATCAATCATAATTCTTCATTGCATCCAAATCCTCAATGTATGAAACATAGCCCTATCCTAGAGATGTCCCGGTGTGTGTGAAAAAGAGAGTTACCATTAAAAATAGGCATAATAGCCTTGCAATGTCATCAACATCACGCTTGGTTGTTTCATTTGTTGCTTTAACCAGTTTGCTCATTATCAAAGTTGAGGTCAACCTGCTATCCTTCTTGAATCTTCGTTTAACAAATTTTGTATTTTCCTTCCCATGAGTTGATGAATCCATTGGATCGCAACCATCTTCAATCCCAAAGATTATTTTGATATCGCTTCTTCTCAATTTAATTTCCTCTCCACCAATATGAAATTTAGATGTATTAACATCAAAGCACAATATCACATCCTGGATGTTACTATTACTCTTTCTACACCATGACTTGTCTAATTTTTTATTAATGATACTTTGAAAGAATAACCAAAATAGAGTTTTTTTCAATACATTCGTGTGTGTTTCAGTTATCTTAATGTCATTTATTGCTCTAATAATGGCAACCAAGTTTGATTTATATCTAGGCTCATTCTTCGATTCTACCATTTTTTTTTTGTTTTTTGTCGTGTGTTTTACCAACCTTACTTGAGGATGATTGACCCACAATTTTATCTTCGGATCGCTTTCCTTTTTTCACCATGACTTATTTGAGTTACCAAGATGTAAAAAATAGACAAGTACAATATACAACAAAAGATTCAAGGTAACTATAAACAGTGTAACAAAAAAAGTGTAACAAAAAAATGTAACAAAAACAGTGTAATAATAAAACAATGAGGATATACACAAAGTGTAATCCCACACAATTATTGAACAACGAATAAACACTAGCATCTCTGAACAATGTAATATTCCAATCTTACAAAAGATTGAGTGTAATTATAACATCATAATAAAATAAATGTACCAAAAATAGTGTAATAATAAAAGTGTACCAAAAATTTTATAATAACACACTACACAAACACTGTAATATTACATTATGACAAACCTATATTTGCATAAAACTTTATTCAAAACAATACATATATGTTTTGAATTTGGTACCACAGGCACGAGACTCCTGAACACAATAAAAAACATAACCAATTAATTTGACTTTACATTGACTAACAATAACAGACCCACATTGAACCATTTAAAAAATAATAATTATTAAGTATACAAAATCCAAAATCTAATAGGAAAAAATCTAGGGTTTAAAAAATGCATAATTTTAAAGCTTTTTGCCAAAAAAAAACCAAATTTGTCTTCAATCATCGATTTTATCTATTATGTTACTCATTGGCGACAATATGTCCCCTAAAAATAAATTTAACAAGAACTTTCATCCAAAACAAAACATCTAAATCAAAATAAAGGTAATGTATTTTGATTTTAAACAACCCATGATGTTATTACCAAAAAAAAAAAAATGAAATGCAGAAAAACAACGATCACCTAACTTGAGTTTGTGCTTCAGGTTGAGTTCATGGACAACAAAGAACAATGAGGAGTTCGAAACTTGAGTTTGTGCCGATGAAACCAAAAATACGTCTATCAATCACAGAAACCTCTCACCAAACTTGAGTTTGTGCCGAAAAAACCAAAAAATCCTCTATCAATCAAAGAAAACCCAAATCCCATATCCTTTGTCACAATCGACACCCTACGCTTGGTTATGGAAGACAAAGGAAAGTTTTTCTCCGGAGAAGATGAAACAATTTTGTGAGGAAGAAGCCGTATAACGATACCCAAAATTTTGAAATAAATGTACCGAAATTTCAGTGGTTAAGATAAATGCATTTTGACAGATTTTAGGAATGACAACTTCACCAAAAAAATGGTTTTTACGTCTTTGTATCTCAATAGTGTATTTTTTTTTCAAAATATTTTGTTTTGTGTACTTTTTTACAATTAAGTCTAATTTAGTATACATGTTTCCAAATGACCCAAAAATTAGTTCCCCTCCTCATTAGGGCTGACCCAATCATAGAAGTAAAAAGTGAAAATTAGAGCTGAGTCTTCATTAAAGGACTTATAATGAGTTTAATCCGTCAAAAAACTTATTTGAGGCTAAGTCTATTTTTAATTTTACTAATAAGTAATTATGTCCACTATTTTTTAAAAACTCCAAAATACCCTTCTTTGAAAACAATTTTAAATTAGTTTCCTAACTTGAGAATTATTATCTCTTAATTCATTATCGATGAAGATATGCCAATAAATTTTTTTATATAAATTTGAAATTCAAATTCAAAGAACAACTATACTCTCTCTCTCTCTCTCTCTCTCTCTCTCTCTCTCTCTCTCTCTCTCTCTCTCTCTCTCTCTCTCATATATATATATATTACCATGTTACTATTCTTGTTAGTGTTTTTGTGAACATATTACTGTTTTTTTTTTTGGACATGTTGCGGTATATGTTACTATTTTTGTTGAACATGTTACTACTATTATTTTTCCAAATATTAATTCTCAATGTTGTTTTTTTTTTTGTTTTTGAATATTATTATTTTTTTGTATTTAAATGTTATTATTTTTTGTGTTTGAATTATACTATTTTTTGTGTTAAAATGCTACTATATGTATGTATGTATGTATGTATGTGTGTGTGTGTGTTTATATATACTAGTTAATGCACACGTATAACGCACGTGAACTATATTTTATAAAAAATCATATATATTAAAGTCATGAACCACAATTTTATAAATTCACTTGTTTGGTAAATATTGGTAAATAATTAGCGAAGAACAACTAAACCCAAAAAATATACTAAAGAAAATAATATTTCAAGTTAGCTCAAACTCATCATTCTTGATTCCATCCTTATATATCGTGTCTCTCATCATAATTGGAGAAGGTTCAAAAAATAAATCATAATTGGAGAAATGTCAAGAAACATAATTGTACTCAGTGATTTACTTTTCCCAAAGAATCTTTAAGCAGCAATTATATGTGAGCAACCACATTTCCTCTTTTCCATAATCAAATGGAAGCAAGAGACCAGCATTTTGTGCTTGCTTCCTAGCAAGCTCAAAGATAACATGATCAGACAGGTAAAAATATGATGTACCAACATGAGAAAAGGTAAACAACAAAACAAAAACATCAGGGCAGAGTCAAAAGATTCAGTTTAAATGCCTATTCTGCAATCTACTCTCCTCGCAAGGAGTGCCTAGCAAGTTCTGATTTAAACCACTACTTATTACTCCAGCAAACCCCTTGCCTAGGATGTTCATTTTAAGCAACTAAAGCATCAGTTCAGAAACCTATTTCGTAACACTGGTGTGCATAGTGACTTAAAAAAAATGTTCAAAGTTGTTAGCTTGATGCAAACATCAAACTCAAAAATTGCAATAGATAAATAAAAGAAAATATACAAATAAAGCAAGAACAATGGAGCAGGTCAAAAGGATGAACATCTACCCACTCTTAAGTTGCAAAGCAAAGCATCACATCCGATCAAAACAATATGGAAGAAGCCATCCACTTCCTTTGCAAGAACATCTAATCCTTGAGAAAGCTTCTCACTCTTCTTCCCCAAGTCTGAGATTGAATTCTGGAATGCTTCAACTTCAACAGGTCCCACCCCATTCTGGATCATGGGGTACAATTTATTGACAACTATATAATTTGCCTCAAGCTCTCTCAATACTGTCCACTACCACTCGAAAATATATTTCTTATCCCTCTGTTAACAAAAAACTGTAGCTCGATAAAAGCTTCTGCCCACAAGCATATTTCGAGAACTTGGAAATCCCTCAACTTCTTTGCCGAACCTGAGAATGCAGCCATAAAGATGCTACAAACAAACAAAGTTACCACCTTAACTCCATACATAGCACGCATCAAAACCTTGGCTTTGGTTGAGTTTTTCACCTTAGGATGGCTAAGTGTTTTAGTAAGATTGTCTAGAATGGAAGAACAGTTCTCAAGTGTTGAGTTCTTTCAATTAATGTGCTGCCTCCATCAAATGAAGCATGAGCATGCAAAAACTTTTTTGGAGTGGGGCATTCCAAGTTATGCAAGACGCACTGAAATAAGAGATGACCTTGATTCAGGCATGACAGCTCAGACCTGAAAGCAATGCAGATATCAAACAACTTCACACTATTGTCCAGATATACATCAATTCATTTCTCATCCTAATTCAACACAGGGAGTTCAATTGCGGTAATGAGGACTTTTATATTAGTGTGCGTGTCACAAAGGGACTTCATTACAAACCTCATCAATGATAGGATAAGTACAGCCTCCTGTCTTTTGGCTTAAGCTTCCTAAACCTCTTTGCCAAGGTTTCCTCAAACGTGTTCAACAGTTCACACTATTGTCCAGATATACATCAATTCATTTCTCATCCTAATTCAACACAGGGAATTCAATTGCGGTAATGAAGACTTTTATATTAGTGTGTGTGTCACAAAGGGACTTCATTACAAACCTCATCCATGATAGGATAAGTACAGCCTCCTGTCTTTTGGCTTAAGCTTCCTAAACCTCTCTGCCAAGGTTTCCTCAAACGTGTTCAACAGTTCATGGAGCCATGGAGAGAGGGTGGGCCCTTAGGTAACACCATATGAAATGGATTTCCAAATGGGAATAATGGTCTATGTGGATCCCATGGAAGACTCATTCCAATGTGTCAACTGCAAAATATCTAAAACAACACCCGTACAACTGAATGAGAAGACAATTTCTCAAGACCGATTATAGGTGCATATGTACATAAATGTAGCAGTTCAATGTAAACAGTTGTTTTCTTTTCTTTTTTATAATAAAAATCACATATGTAAAGATTTTTTTTCTGGCTTTTACCATTTCTCACTTACACAAATCGCAGTTCAACCAATTAGGGCCAAGTTAATACTATAATAAGGGTCATTTATCCAATCTCAGATATTTGTAAAGTGTTAGACAAGTATTCAGAGCAACAACTGTTATGATATAGGACGAGTTTCTAATAGCCTTCAATTCAATCCAACTTGACAAATCAAATTTAGATGCAGAAATTATTTTTATCTCACAACAAAATTATAAGATTCACCAATATATTTGGTTGTCGACGTGAACTAAATGCGTTAACCATTTCTTCTCATAGCTTCATGAAAATTGATTACCATATGGCAGCAATCATCACAAATTATGGCAAAAGGTCACAATACCATCAATTTCTCACATAAAGTGAACTCTAAATGTTATTTCGTAACCCCATGCATTCTAACAACAGTTATGAGAATCCTGCATCTAGCAGCAGTTATGAGAAGGATGAGGTATAACACATCTAATTTGATTGTATTATTCCAGAATCCTACATATCTGGGTAGGAGTTATTTGGTCTAATGCAAATGACTAAAGACCAGACTCAATTTTCAACGTAGTAAAGTGTTAGATACCAAGTATGTTAGTTATGAACTCATTGTCAAATGAACAAATTCAAAACTGTATGTTTGTGGTGAAGATTGTCCATTTACTTCTATTGGAGGTTTTCCTGAATACAACATTATTCTAAATTTGGTAGTATTTATATTTGCAGCCCATTTTTGCGATTTTGCTTTAGTAAATTCATGCATATAGCTAAAATATTTGCTCTTATTCGAAGTTATAGGTCTTTGTGTCCGGCAAAATTTTTCCTAATAAAATAACTAATGTCCACTAACTTTTTTGAAGTTAATAATAGCAATAAAATTAACTAATTCACTCTTTTAGACTGTACCGATTCTAGGCACTTTAAATTGATTTCCTACCTCTAAAGTCTACAAAACACTTCCGGTGCAAAGTTTTTTGTTGTTGCACGTTTTCATTGTATTAAATTCAAGAAGACAAACAATAAACAACAAAACAACGCCATAAAAACGAAAATAAAAATAAAAAAGAAACACAATTGGATTTCTATACAAATACTAACAACCAGAACTCATTAAGTAAATTCAAACCCAATACCCACTACAGCTACAAGTATCAACAGATTCAAATTTCTTTGACTATATAATAAAGACTTATATGCAAGCTTAAATAAAAAAAAATTAAAAGTTCTATTTTCTCATTCTGTAGGTTGAATTTAATTAATAATTTTGGCGCTCGATTACAGAGAAAATTATATTCTATTCAAAATGTATAAAATCAGAAGAGGATAATGACTAACCCAAGACATTAGAGGAATAATTTGTTAACAAAAATTTGTTACCTGATGAAGCAGTACAGTGATGCTTGTGGAATACCAAGAAACAAAATACAGCCAACGTTTGACAGAGTAAGGGCGAAGGCGAAGGCGAAGGCTGTTGACAATGCGAAATATGAACTGGGAGGATGTGTGGGGAGTGGTGTAGTCATTTATATTTTGGGTATTACTTCCTGTAATTTTGGAATTAAAAGAAACAGAGTGTAAGTTGCTAATTGATTTCTAGAATGGCAAAGGGTGCAAGGCATTGCGATCGTAACTGATTCCTAAATTGAATTAGTATAATTAAAGAAAATTGGAGAGAAATAATAGGTGAAGGTATAGAACCTGGGTCGTATGGAGAAGCCCTTAAATCTGCTAATAATAAGTTGTAGGGACTCAAAGGTAGAATTAAAGAGAGATGGAGAGGGGGCATGACGGTTTGGTCTTCGTTGATGTGTGAAAACGCAAGGGCGAGAGGGAAAGTAACGGCCGAGAATAAGGAGAGAGAGAGAGAGAGAGAGATACAAGATACGGGTCATTACAGGAGTAAAGGGAAGAAGAGGAAGCGGCGATTAGGTTTACTTTGCTATTAAAGATGAAGGATATAGATGACAGTATTGTCTTTTTGGAGAACAAAAGTGGAAATAAAATATTTTTCATGTTTTCTCATATTTTTAAGTACTATAGATATAGATATAGATATATATATATATATATACACACACACGTATGAAAGAAAGAGAAATAAATAGTCATATTCTATATATGGATATAAATAGATATGAAAGAAAAAATTTAGATATTAGTCAAACTCTTAAAATTAGGAGTTGTTAGCTTTTAAATTTATTTTAATTAAACATAACTACTAGGGATATTTTGGATAATAGAAATCAAAATGGACTTAATATTAAAAAAAATTCTTGATGAACTTATCACCAAATAAGTCCACAAATGGGGACCAGCCTCCAAATTTTCCAAGTGAAAAATTCTAAGATTTAGGTCTTATAATTTTATAAGGTCCCATAATTTAAGATAAATAATTGGCTAATTTTAGAATTTTAAGTCCATTAAAATTATAAGCCCTAGAAAAAAGCCTTAGTTAAAATTTAAGGCCAATCAAAAATTTTAATAATTTTTTGAGCTCATGATTCAACTCATAATAAAAAAAACTTAAAAAGCAAAATTTTATTAAAAAAAAAAATATTGATATACTCAAAAGTCAAGTTATAATTCACTCACCCATTCTCAACCACATTCTCTCTCTCTCTCTCTCAAACTCTCAATGCACAATACTAGAAATCCTCTCCCTTATTTTCATTCTCACTCACTCCGTCTACGTATCAATTTTAAATAAAGAATTTTTTTTGATTTTTTATTTAACTTAAAAAATAAATTTATTAAATACTGATAGTTTAAAAAAAATTATCTTGATCTCGGATGTTTCTTAAAACATAACAATTTTTCTGACATTGATAGTTTAGGTTATTTTAAAAATAAAATATTTTAAAGAAGATTTTATAAATTAAAGAAAATAATCCAATTGAGACACTAAATTATATAAAAAGACTAGATTTTTTTTTCAAATGTATGCATTGCTTAAAGAATATTATTATTAATTTTTGTAATAATTATTTCTACAAAAAGAAGTTTTTCAAAATTAAAATTGATAAAATTTTACTTAAAATCAACTGTCACAAGAAAAAATTAAAAAAAATATACAAAAATATAAATATAAATACTCAATTTATACTTTTACAACTCAAAATATGAAAAAAAATTAATTTTAATCAAAATTTTAACACTAAAAACAAAAAGGCCTCAAATTTCTTTAAGCCGCCCCCTTGCTCGTGATTATGATATGAGCAAATAAACCCACTTTAGCCAGTGTCCAATCTGTATAAAGAATGAGAATCGCTCAACATACTTGAACAATCGTATTCACAAACATTCATAAATCATACAAAGAGTAATGTAATTTTATTCAAAGGATTGGTGCCTGCATATATGGGGTTTCACATGCCAAGTTCGATCTTGTATGTATCTCATGGTTATAGTATAAAACAGCGTAAAGATATAAAGCCAATTTAAAGTTTGATTCTCAAACTATGCAATAGTTATTCTAACATCCACCAATTTAGGTTTGTTGTTAAAAACAACACCAAAAAAATTGAGGGTTGTAAGGGGTAGAAATCGCAACGGATCTCATCCCTCCACTCGAAGGATTTCGGTTGACCTGGCGGCACCGAACTCCAGTAGTCTTTACCTCTCTTCGGCAATAGGACATTTTCCTAAGTCAATCCCACATTCTCAAACTATGCAATAGTTATTCTAACATCCACCAATTTAGGTTTGTTATTAAAAACAACACCAAACAAATTGAGGGTTGTAAGGGGTAGAAATCGCTACGGATCTCATCCCTCCACTCGAAGGATTTCGGCTGACCTGGCGGCACCGAATCCCAGTAGCCTTTACCTCTCTTCGCCAATAGGACCTTTTCCTAAGTCAATCCCACATCGGAAGAGAGTCGTCTTCCCCCCTCGCATATAAGCCCTCGCACTCAAAAGAGGAAGTACCCACTAGCACTTCTATAAGGGATAGAAATCGCTACGGATCTCATCCCTCCACTCGAAGGATTCCAGCTAACCTGACGGCACCGAGCCCCAGTAGCCTTTACCTCTCTTCGCCAATAGGACCCTTTACTAAGACAATCCCACAGGCACCGAGCCCATTAGCCTTTACCTCTCTTCGCCAATAGTTGTTTAGGTGCCTAATGGGTACCCATTCCTAAGGGGCTCAGTCTTATAAGGGGGTGGGGGAGACGACTCTCAGTCGATGTGGGACGAAACTCCTCGATGTGGGACGAAGCTCCGCACGGGCACTAAGAGGTAAAGACTACTATATTGCCTTAGGAAAGGTG